ACAATGGGTGTGCGTGAAAGGAATTTGTATGTTCATTTTGAATAATAAATTAGACGGTATCACTAAAGGAATTGTTAGTGCATGAAATGCGGTGTGTGCGTTTGTTTACGACGGAGTATGCGTCATGGGCCATAGTAGTTTTGTGTGTGCGTTTGTTCACGTCGGCTTGTGCGGTGTGACATTCATTGTGGAGCCGAAAATTTTTATTATAATGGATGTGAGTGGAATGAAATTGTGTGCTCATTTGGTATGAATTAGACGGTATGGGTGGTATTTGGTTAGTGCATGAATTCTGGTGTGTGCGTTCATTTACGACGGAGTGTGCACCATAGGCATTAGTAGTATAATGGGTGTGCCGGGAATGAAGTAGTTTGTCTGAAATTAGTTTTATAATGGGTGTGCGTGAAAGGAATTTGTATGTTCTTATTGAATGAATTAGACAGTGTGACTGTTTTTGTGGTTAGTGCATGAAATGCGGTGTGTGCGTTTGTTTATGACGGAGTGTGCGTCATGGGCCATAGCAGTTTTGTGTGTGCGTTTGTTCACGTCGGCATCTGCGTGTGTGTAATGTGGAATATACAGATGTAATTCAATATAAGCTAAGGTGGATTCGATGAACGAAATACGAATTTGAAGGTGAATACTAAGTTTATAAAAATATAATAAAATAAAATATATATATTCAAGGAGTCAACAAGAATTACAATTATGTAATCATCAATTTGTTACGCTCGTGACTAATTTAGGGACTTAAATATTGGCCTAGAACACACCTACTGCCCCTCATAAAAACACAACAATACGCACAAGTTATTAACCTTCGTGGATTTGAAGATTTAACAACTCTCCTAACCCCAACTCGACCACAGCTCTCTTCTGACAAACATTAAACAGCCTCATCGGTGCGACCAATTGCTTGGGAGAAGCACGAATCTTCAAAAGCGGAAATAGTTTCGAGTCATCCACGTCTAGCCCACCATCCTCCTCATCCGAATTCGTGTCTGGTTGCGGAACAGGGGGTGCTTCAACATCCTCGGACAGCATCAAATGTGCAGCCTCTACCGCATCTACCGTCTCTACAGCCGTGACACCTAGACATACCAAAATTAATGCACTATTAGCAACAAAAGATACCACAAAACAGTAAAAGAAAAAATCATCATACTCCTGAGCACTCACTTTTCCCCCGCAACGCACAGACCAGAATCGGGAAACCAGCAGCCCAATATTACGCACTAGCTTATTACTTAGAACGCAACAACCAATTAGCAATTACAGTATTACGCACAAACATCACACAAAGAATGCACACACTAATAGTACGCACTAGCTTATTACTTATAACGCACCAACCAATTAACAATTACAGAATTACGCACAAACGTCACCCCAAGAACGTACACACTAATTGCCAGTACAATATGATCTACACTATTATAATAAATGAGAACATGGCAAAACAACCACAATTAAAATCTACCTTTCATACACCAAAAAAAAAAAAAAACAAAAAAACAAAAAAACAAAAAAAAAAACAAAACAAAACAAAACAAAAAAAAAAAACAACAACAAAATATATGATCTACACTATTATAATAAATGAGAACATGACAAGCCAACCATGATTAAAAGCTACCTTTCATACACACACACACAAAAAAAAAAACAAAAAAAACAAAAACAAAAACAAAAAACAAAAAACAAAAAACAAAAAAAAACAAAAAAAAAAAAGAAAAACAAAATAAAAAGCTCAAACAACAATAAAAAGCTCAAACAACAATAAAAAGCTCATGTAATACTGTTTTTCTTTCCTACCACATCTGTATAGATATAAATGCACATGCCTACATACAACTACGCACAAACCAGTGTCAACACGTCCCTGATAAAAAAATTAGCATTCCGGAAACAAAAAGAATCTAAACATTTGATCCTTGAGATAAATTAAAATGAATCTGGAAATACGATTAAAAATCCATAACCAAACACTAAAACAGATACATTATAACACCATCGTCAAGCCAAAACCACTCGTTCAAGTACAATGCAAAAACTAATGTTTGTCTACGCACACACCATCATAATACTACATTTCAAACAGCAGCCCCCCAATTGTAATATCCTTCAAAGCATAGCAGAACTGCAAAACTACTATAGATGAACCCCTATTCATTTTGAATATACTAATTGTTCAAATTAGAATTCCGTAACATTGCATTCGATTTTACACATTACTAGCTTTGTGTGTTTTGGTACCCTAACATCACACCATCTCAATTGTATTACAGTACTTCTATAGTTCAAAGTATGCAGCAAATAATTTCTCATATTCCCAATTGAAACAGATTACCAATACTTAATGAAAATATGGAATTGAAATTAATCAACAGATTCAAATCTTCTTTTTGGAAAATTCTTTTATTAAGATATTAACCTCAAAACCTAAACGTGAAACAGAAAAAGGCTCAAACGGCCTAAGTCGCTGATAAGGCTAAGATCAACCATGACCGACTGACTCACCAACAACACGAGATCGTTACTTTCATAGAAAATCATGCTAATTTAACAGAAAAAATAATTAGTAATTCATCATCACAATCAAGAGATCCCCAGAACTAAAACTCCAACAAGAAAACGTAATTAAGCAAAATTGATTTCTAGAAAAAAACAAATTAAAGAAAGTAAAACTAAGAGACCGAAGTATCGGAGCAAAACAAGAAGTAGCTTACATTGATGTCATCGCCGACAGAATTGATCTCCTTGTTCGCTCTCTGGCCAATCAAGTATGAACGAGAAGTTGAGAACGAGACTACGAACCTGAGGTGAGGCGTTGACTGGAAAGTGGTGAAGATGGAGGCGGCTCACGATCGGCGACTGAGGCGGGATGAGAGTGAAGACGGAGACCGCGAAGCTGGTGGCCGGTGGCAAGGAGAGGGGAGCAGCTGCGACTCTTGATAGGAAGAAAAACCGAGAAAAAAGGCAACTATCGGCTTTGAAGAAAAATATAGCACAAGGAAACAAATAAAATATCACGATTTTGATAAGGAAAGAAATAAATGTGTGTGTAAAATTACTCAATTACCCTAAGTATATTACAGATCAGCCATTTACAAATAAAAAAATCTGAAATCTGAACCGTTAAAATAAAAAAATGAATGCTCAGGATTACATCTCATCATCTCACCTAACTAGGGGTCTCATTGGATCTAATATCTATATATATATACATATATAAAGTGAGAACGCTTAGTTTGCTTGCATGTTTTAAGAAGTGTAGCATTTTGAAACATTTGAACACTGCTTACAGCCACATTATATTACTTAAACTGGAAACACATTGAACTACATCAGAAGAAAATTTTCATAACTGCTTTGCTAGAAATATGTACTTTCAAGCTTTACCCAAATACCAAAATTTGATCAAAGAGAGCCGCCAACCATCAACACTTCCAACAAATTTTATCACATATGACATACCAAAATTACCAAACACTGGATATTCAATTTAATCAATTACAGACATAATTAGGGCAAAATTCGCAATATATTAAAAAAAAAAAAGGAAAATCAGGGAAAAAACATAATAACATTGCTGGATAAGTTTAAAATTCAAAATTTTTGGCAAACAATTGAACAAATTAAGATTTATAGACGGAGTCGATGAACTACGAACATGAGGCCTGAGGGTGAAGACGGAGCCGGCAATGGTTGAACGAGGTTGGGCACCTGGCGACGATTACTATTAGTTATTAAGTTAATTAATTAAAAAATTTTAGAAAATTTATTGTAGGGAGGCTTGAACTATAGAGATAATTTTCAATTTCCCCACCCCGCATTGCTATTATCACCTGCCCACACCCTTGGTGTTGTTCATGTTGGGTAGCATATATCATAATGGTTTAACACTCGTTTGCCTTCTACAGAATCCAGCACAAATAAGGATGTATATTAATTATTTTCAAAAAAAAACAAAAAACAAAAACAAAAAGATGTATATTTAAAGTAAAAGGTAGAGTTATTCTTAAGAAACAAGAATAAGTACTTGTCTTGGAAGGGGTCGGGTGACTAACTGAGTGTGTATTATGTAATTTGTGGACCATTACACAGAAATGAAGTTTATCTAACACACAATCTTGGATAGTTGTTATAGATTTATTCATCCACTCAAAGAGAATAAATACATGTTACATACGATGAAGTTTGGCAATCTATCAATTTAATGTTGGTAAAAATAATTTTTCTTGTTAATATTTGTCCGTACAGGTTTAGCTTACTGATTTAGTAGGCAATATTTAAGAGAAGAAATCAAGATTCAAAACACCGACAATAACAATATGAGGATTATAAAATGAACAGATTCATTGTGCGCTTGCACACCCAGGCATTTGGCTAGAAATAAGTTCATTTTCATGGTCTATTGAGGGGACTACAGCCATTCAAAATGACAATTGACAAGTCATAAATGGCTTAACGGATTAGCCGTCTTTGCTTGAGATATTTTCTTTTTCTTTTTCTTTTCTTTTTTTTTTTTTGGAAGAAACTTGAGATATTTTTCTCTTCAGAAAAATATTACGCGTAATGTTATTTACCCATTAAAATATTTTTTTCCCTTAATTTCACCCGATGAAGTCATTTAATTCATGACACTCAATGATTACAAATTATGTCAAAAAAGAAAATTAAGAGAGGTAGAAAGCATTTTTCTTTCAAATATTACTTGGATTCTTAACTTTTATTTCTAATTTTTACTGTTTCACTCAAATTCTTGATGTGATTTTTTTTCTTTTATAATCTACATGATAAAATAACTTAGCTTGTCATTACTTGCCATATCAAGAAGTAAAACTGAGATAATAGAGATTGGAACTACATGTATGTAAAAAAATTTCTCTTCACATGAAAAAGGATGATTGTTTAGAAGGGAAAAAATGGGTTGATACTTTATGGATGTTCATAGATGTTGATGTATATATAATTGGACAAAACAAGTGGGCATGTAGCTAGTATATTACTCTATATATATGTGTGTGTATTCTTTGGCGTAGTTAATGGTATTATCATAACAACCAACTAAAGATTTTTTGAGTTCATAAAAATCAAATGGCTGAAACTGAAAATAGGAGTAGTGGAGATGGAAGGTGGTCACTTAAGGGCATGAATGCCCTAGTAACCGGCGGCACCCGAGGTATAGGGTATGTATCTTGAGCAAGTCGCTCACACCAATCAAACTGGTTATAATATTTTGTTTTTGGAGTGTGTATAATGATTTCTTTTTTGTGTATATAGATATGCCATAATAGAGGAATTGGCAAGTTTTGGAGCGAGTATTTATACGTGTTCGCGTAATCAGGAGGATCTGGATAAATGCTTCCAGGAATGGAAAAGTAAGGGATACAAAGTAAGTGGTTTAGTGTGTGACTTGTCATCAAGACCTCAACGGCAAGAGCTAATGGAGAAAGTTGGAGATTATTTTAATGGGAAGCTTCACATTCTTGTAAGTTTTGTTTATTATTGTCACCCTCCCATCCCAGGATTAATCTAGGGTGTGATTGAGTGAAAGAGATTCATCCATCCTTAATCAAAGGTCAAGGGTTCCATTCTTGACTTTGGGTATGAAGCAGCCTTAAATCTCTAGGTCAGCAGTTCCACCCAAAAAAGGTGCGTACAATCCAGCGAGTGGATTAGTCACTATGTCTGTCAGTGGAAATCTTGGGTTCTGGGTATACCAAAAAAAAAAATCACATCCCAGGATTAAAATTAAAGGTCTTTGGTGTGGTAATATTTTGGTTTGATTTTAGGTGAACAATGCTGCAACATCTATTCCAAAGAAAACTACTGATTTTAGTGATGAGGATTACTCAGTGACTATGAGTACCAATTTTGAGGCACCCTACCACCTTTCTCAACTTTCATACCCTCTTCTAAAGGCAACTGGACATGGAAGCATTGTTTTTGTCTCTTCTGTTGCTGGGCTCTTGGCAGTACCTTATTGTTCTCTCTACTCCGGGTCCAAAGGTAGTGTGAACTACAAATCTAAAACTGGATCTAAACCGTAATCTTTTCGATATATCTAACTATAGTTGGTATGAATATAGGAGCAATAAATCAAGTTACAAGAAGTTTGGCATGCGAGTGGGCAAAAGATGATATTCGTGTTAATGCTGTGGCTCCTTGGTTCGTTGAGACCCCCCTTAAGGATGAAGTAGTGGTAAGAAAAAATCTCTTATATGTATCCTCCCTATTTATAAATTAAAATTTCGATCTCCATTCATATATGTATGGTTATTTACTATATTTAATTTGTTGTTTGTTTTTATCATTTCCAGAAAGTTTTTAAAGCAGGAGAGGTAGAGGGGGCAATCAAAAGAACTCCAATTAGCAGGCAGGGAAAGCCTAATGAAATCTCATCAGTGGTTGCATTCCTATGTTTACCAGCTGCTTCTTGGCTCACTGGGCAAGTTATCTGTGTGGATGGGGGCATAACTGCCACCAGCTTCTGATCTCATGAGCATGTATAATATATATATAAAATAAGATTCTGTGGAAATCATTTAAAATCGATCATTTTAAATCTCTTGGAAAGTTTATAAAAGTCTTGATTATATACATCCCGGCCCTAAGGAATTGTTACTTAATTTTTTCATTTTATGAATTTATAACTAAACCAAGCATTACTCAGGCCACCTCATCAAAGCCTGTAAAGGTCGCCAAGAATTGCTTGATTCTTGGCATTTCTTCATCCCTAAACAATATCTATCTATCTGCCTCTCTATTCACACTGCTTTTTAATTGGCCTCTTTTGTATAATTCAATATGCCTTTTCTTTGGTCCAATATCGATCAAGTAATTTCACATTTTGATATATATATGGAATATGTGTTTATATTTGATATTATACTTAGTACATTCAAGGGTGAATTTGAGCTTGGATCTCAATCTTTAAAAAAATTTGTATCATCTAACATGACTTGTGATAAGTGGTTAATTATTACATTTGTTATTTGTAAAATAGGTGACTATGCTATAAATTAATTTGATGAATATATGAATTTTAATACTAAAATTATTCTCTTGTTATATATAAAAAAAAAAAAAGTATCATTTAATTACTCCCTACCTAGCATTTTTTTTTGTCAGGCTATGAGGTGTCCTGAGTAGACCAAACCCTAATACAAAATTAGAAACTATATTAAAAATTTATATTTTTAGAAATTATATTAAAAATATTATTAAACACACAAAAAAATCAAATTTAAAAATAAGTAAATAATACAAAAGAAAATAAATGAATAAGAAATAATTGATTTGACCAATGAATAATAAATAGGACTGATAAAATGGGACCGAACGAGTATAATTTAGAGAAAAAAGTTATAATTTTTCCAATTATTATAATCAATTTGTATAATTCAAGACGGGAATTTGGTTCCTTAAATTGTGTGTAGAATCTTCATCAAGACGGGACTATAAAGCTGGTTAAAAATTTTGTAAATTAAAATTAAAAATTAAAAAAAAAATTAAAAAAAATTTTTAAAAAAAGAAGAAGAACAGAGTGGGGATCTTTAAATTCTTAATTAGGATAACTTTGAAAGATTCTTTCCTCATGGCCTTGGGAGAAGAATAAGGGATCTAAGCTTTTCAGAGTTGCTTTCTTCCTTCAAGATTTTTGGCAGTTGGAAACTTGTCTTTATAGAACGGGACGCAAAGAATCGCACAAAATTTTAAATATTCTTTCAATTAATATAGCCTCGTGAAAATGTCGCAGAGTAACAAATCTTTTTTTTATATATAATTAAGTTTAAATTTTAAAAATTATAATAATATTTTCAAAAGAGTAAAAGACATTTTTGGTCTTAGACTTATAGTGGCTTGGACAATTTTAGTCCTTTATAAAAAAAATTGTCATTTTATGGACAGAGTTATTGTGGCGAGGACATTTTTGGTCCTCCGTCTATATTTCTGTTAGATAACCGTATGAGAGAGGGGCAATTACGTCAATTTAGGCTATCTCTTTATTGTGAGATGGACGATTTTGGTCCCACAACCATGCCTTTACTCAGACCCTCATTTATTTGTAGTTTTGCACTACGAAATGCTCTGCCCACAACCATGCCTTTACTGCAACTTGGACTCTCCGAGTCCTTCGAATTATGACCGAGAAGAAAACAAAACACACATAGATATAATAGATAGAAGGAGATAGCCTAAATTGACGTAATTACCTCTCTCTCAGACGGTTATCTAACATAAATATAGACGGAGGACCAAAAATGTCCTCGCCACAATAACTCTGTCCATAAAATGGCAAATTTTTTTATAAAGGACTAAAATTGTCCAAGCCACTATAAGTCTAGGACCAAAAATGTCTTTTACTCTTTTCAAAATTACGATGGTCCATTTAAAAACGTTTGGCAATGTATTCAGGACGATAGAATAAGGGGATGTTTGGTTCATGGAAAATGTTTTCCAAAGGAAAATATTTTCCTTAAAGTGGAGGAAAATGTTGTTTTCTTGTGTTTGGTTCATGGAATTCATTTTGTTTGGACCAAAATTTGGTTGGAGAAGGAGATAGCCTAAAATTTGAGAAAAACAAAATCCTTGGTTGGACCAAGGATTTTGTTTTCCATGGAAGATGGGAAGAAAAAGTGATATGGAATGCATATTTTACCCTTGGCTACTTTTTTTTTAATTATATTACTTTTATTAATTTGTAGGGGCATATAGGTCTTTATACTCGTTATTCCTTACAATGTCAAATCTAACCAAACAATAGAATTAGTATTCCTAGTAATTCTTTTTCCACCAACCAAACAATGAAATTCATCTTCCTAGTAATTGTTTTTCCATGAAATTTCAATTCCACTTCCCTTAAAATATTTTCCGCGAACCAAATGAGCCCTAAATAACTTGGGGTATAATTGAGTGGAAGGGACTCATACATCCTTAACCAAATGTTAAGGGTTTGATCCGACTTTAAGTATGAAGTAACCTTAAATCTTCAGATCAGTCTCGCCTAACAGAGGGAAGTGCCTTAAATGATTAAAAAAAAAATTCTCTTTAGTAAAAATCTATTCCGTAATTATTTTTAAATTATGAAAGTTGCGGAGGAGTGGAGGACTAGAGGGTCACTGTCATATTTATTGTTTCTAATCTTATCTTTTTGATGTTTAATTTATTTTTATACATTGATAGACAATTACAAAGACTTTTTCAAACCTTATTGAAAGACAATTAAGTTATTGTAATAATTATCTATTTAGTTAAATATTGTATTTAATATGAAATAAATTAAATTACATTATAAAATTTGGTCGACCCTTATACAAATGATATTCTATAATTGAATTTTCAATTTTGGGTGCTAGATTGGAACTGTGGAGTGTGGACCACACAAACCTAACTTTGAATGGCATTCGAATACTTGTCATTTGTCAACTAACATTGGGTGAGGCTAAGAAAATTTTGGGATAAGTTTGAAGATTTGAGGTTTAAACTTAAATATAATGTTGTAGTTAGATAGGGCAAGATAGGCATTCAAAAAAAAAAAAAGATAGGGCAAGATAGACCATAGAGTTTGGCTATCAACGTCTATATCAATGGGAGTGCGAAGAAACAATCAGAGGCTATGACAACAAGTTAGAAACTCTTAGCGAGTGGTGATGTGGATTTACATATAAGATAAGGATTGAATTAAACCTACAATGAAGATTTGGGTATAGTAATTTGGATGGAACTCCAATCAAGTTAATTAGCATATTGATTTGTTAGAGTGTCTCATTAGACTTTTTAGTTTAAATCGATCAGTTATGGACGATCGGAGTGTTTTATTAGACTTCGTAATTGAGTCGATGATGTTAAGATCAAATGCTTATCACTACGCTGAGTCGATGATGTTAAGATCAAATGCTTATCACTACGCTAAAAGTTATAGTTAGTAACTGATAGTGTAAATACGTTGTTACCCGTAATATGGGTCAGATTATATTGGGTCTTAGTATAATCTATTAGTTAGTCTAGGTATTGAGCTCGGGTAGCCAACATGAGGTCATAGATTTCCGAACTGATAAGTGGTAGGTGAAAATGTCTCCTAGCCATACATGCAGTAGAATAAAAAGACACATGCCGGGCTCTCAGCATGAAAATGTCTCCTAGCCATACATGCAGTAGAATAAAGAGACACATGCCGGGCTCTCAGCATGACTGACACATATTGCAGACATACATACAGGAATAAGGAGACACATGCCGAGCTCTCAGCATGACTGACGCTCTCAGCATGACTGACACATGTTGCACATGCAATTGGCAAGCTCGGAAACATTGTCAAAGTTCGATTGGGTACCGAATAGGTGTATAGAACATATTAAGAGATATACTCGGAGAATATTTTCCTATCAGTAACAAATATACAACTTTATTTCCTTATACCCCCACACAGTTTCAAGATATTGGGTACTAACCCTCCCATCATTGGGTGCTAGACTTGGCCTTTATCAACTTCCATCCAACAAATGAGTTAGAACACAATAGGGTGGCTCAACTATAATTTGTGAGAGATCTCAAAATTAAGTTAGAATCTTTTAGTTTGGGATGGCAATTAAGTACATGAATGAAGAGCATAAGAGTGCAGTAATAAACATAAGTCATACATTAAGTTTCTAAACAAACAGACACATTACAAAGTCTCCTTGATCATGGCATAACAAAAACAACAGCCTGACCAAGGAGACAGACACCTTACAAAGTTACATTAAAATATTAACATAAGACATTAATAAAAGACTACTATTCTTTTCCTGACTCACCCACTGCACATGTCAAAAATTCCATTGCAGTGTGACCCTTACATACCTTGACTCTCACTGAAGAAAAAAAAAAAAAAAAAAAAAAAAAGCTATGAAATTTATAATCACAGCGCTGACCAATCGATCTCCACCGACGGGAACTTCTGAAGCGAGAAATTCTCGGATTCCTCGAACGAGGGCTCGGGGAAATCCAAGAACGTGATGTCGGATTCCGGCGAAGATTCCTCGGAGAGCGCAGGGGAATCTGAAGATGAACCCGATTCCGCTTTGATGTTATTGCTTTCCGGTTTGTTCTTCGTCCGCTTTGTCTGAGAGGCCTTCGAGCTCCCCTGTTTCTGCGACTCCGCCAGGTTCTGGCAAATGGCTTGAAGCTTGGCGTCGACGGAGGAAGGCAGCGGCTTAAAGTCGGCGAAATCCTGGCTGAGCTGGTGCCGGAGATTCGGGAAATTCAGCCGCGCGTACTCCCCTCTCAGCTTATACGCCGCCTTGTCGTAAGCCAAGGCGGCTTCTTCCGCCGTGTCGAACGTTCCAAGCCACAGCCTCGTCCGGTTCCTGGGAAGTCTAATCTCCGCAACCCATTTCCCCCAGTGCCGCTGCCTCACGCCCCGGTAAAGCTTCGTGGGTTTATTCGGGGCTCCGGTTTGCTTCATCGGGACGGGTCTGGGTCCGAGATAGCTCAAACAGGAGCTCGGTTGTTGCCGAGGAAGAACAACAGAGGATGAAGCTAAGGATTGTTCCTGGTTTTGCAGATGGATCTGGGCTTGAATTTGAAGGATCTGAGATGGGGTGAGCTGGTTTAGCCCAATCGGACCTCTTTGCTCAAACCCCATACTCTCAAAACCCGAAAACATCCCGGCGGCCGCCGGGATCGGGGTAAATTCATGGTACAGATATGGATCCGTTGAGAAAGAAGATTCAAACGGATAGTACGAGGAAGAAGAAGAAGGGGGAGAAGAAGATGAAAAAGAAGAAGAAGAAGGGGGAGGAGAAGAAGCACCTTTCATAAAAGGTTCAAGTGCCTTCATGAGTTCTTCTCTAAAGGGATCTATATATACGGGACTGCTGCTATTGTATATATCTATAGCTGCTGCCATGGCTTCTCAAAAGTCAAAACACACACAGAAAAAACAGAGATCTGAAGAAAATCAAAAGATCACAAAACAAGAAACCCTGCAGAAAATCAAGAACCTGAGGGATAGAAAAACAGACCCTCCTGGTTGTTTTAATCAAAAGATTTATACTATAATCAAGCTAAAAAAAAAATAAAAATGGATCTCTATTCTGAATCACCTGGCTTTCAAAAAATCAACCACCACCTGTAATCTGGCTTGTTTTTAACGAAAATTTCAGTATTAATCAAAACCCAAAACCAAGAAAAACAAACCGTTTTTAAAATCTCTGAAAATTTCTTGAAAGACAGACGATGACAGAAAGGGATCTCAAGAAGCGGGATGTTAGAGAGGGGGAAGAAAAAAAAATTAAAATCACTCTTTTTTTTTAGATTGCCTCACTGAATTTTTCGCTCTGGTAAAATGGTGGGATGGCTCAGCGTATATAAAGGCCCAGGCCGCGCCTTCCTTTCTCTCTCCCTTCTTTCGCATTAATTCATTTCTATTTTTCTTTTAATATTTATATTTATTTCCACCAAAATTCTTTGCAGTTTAAATACTCCGTATATAATAATAATTTAAAATTAAAATTTAAAAAAAAAATTGCCATTTCGTCAAGATTCGGGAACCCGCAATTCGATGCACATTCACGCGTTCACACCGGGCGAACCTTTTGACGAAAGTACAATCACAAAATTTTATAAAACTATCTCAAATGAATTATACATGTGTTTTCGAATCTTACTTCAATAATTTTATACTCTGCTAAGTTATTTTTCATATACGTCCCGACGGTCCCGTTACAAATGTCTACATCAATATTTTGTATGTAGAATAAAAGTTGGGAGCATAAAGCGAAAATACACATAATATTTTCCTGATTTTTGTTTAATAAAAATACAATACTTTTTTTATATGTGAATAAATGTTATATTTTTAATAAAAATATAATCTGTCTTTTAAAAAGTTATTGCATTAGGGCATTCTCAACTGGTTTTTTTCTCAGTTTTTGTGGATCCAACATCTACCTCATTATCAACTATCTCACTCAAATCACAAAAATTATTCTCATCATTAATTTTTTATTTTTTTTAATTTTTTGTGGACCCACAATTTTACCTCACTATATTTTAATTATTTTTATATCTATTATCATTCTAAAAATTATAATTGTAATTGTAATTATAAATTTGATAACAATAATAATTATACATTTAATAATATTGATAATTAAAAAATTTAATTTAATTAATAATTATAAATTTAATATTATTATTAAATTAAAAATTAAAAACAAAAAAAATGTTAATAAATTACATTAAAAATAAAGTAAAAACCTGGCTATACATTAGTCACGTCTGAAATATATAATATAAGAAATTGTTATAGTTCAAAAATTTAACAGAGTTAGTAGTACTAAAAAAAATTGTCCCGTAAATATAAAATAAAAAGTAATGATAATAAAATTTGTGTTGGAAAAAAATAGCTTAAAATGACATGTTAAGTGACTATTTTGTGGTACAATTATCTGTGGGGTCCGCTTCTGATTTGGGTTGGGTAGAAGTGGATTCAGGTTCTTCGTAGTGAGACGAAGAGATTGATATATTGTACGCTCAAAACTGATAATAGGTGAATGAGATATTGATTCTCAAAATAAACCCATTTGAGTTGGAAAATGAAGGGAAAAAGTTTGGGAGTAGCTTTTGTCCCACATTGGTTTGAGAAGTGGATTTGCACCACTATTTATACAAGAGCTCTTTTAAAATTTATTGAATTGTATAGCATAGAGGTTTTCTTTTGCGCGCTAGGGATGCAAAAATCAAATCTCAACCTCTACCAAACCCGAGTCATATCTCTTCACACTTTCATTCTCAATCTTTTCGTACGATTATTGTTTGGGTTTTACCAACGATATATAAAAAATAATAATCTTTTCGTAGGTTTTACAAACGATATATCCAACAATTTACAGATCCAGCAACACAATCCATGCACTGTGAGATGGCAAACTCCCCGGCCAGGGTGGATGAAATTGAACGTTGATGCGGCTTTGGATGTCAATGCCGGCAAGATGGGTCTCGGATGGGTGCTTCGTGATGACCACGGGAATTTTGTTGCAGCTGCCTGCTCACCATGGACTGGTTCCTTTTCCCCCAGTGAAGCAGAAGCTCTTGCAATCAGGGAAGCCATCAATTGGTCAAAAGCTCTTAATCTGGATCATCTACATGTGGAGACTGATTCTTTATTGGCTGTCCAGGGACTCAAAAGCTTAGCTTATGCCTCCTCTTTTGATTTACTGCTTTTGGATGTAAAAGATACATTGAGTTCTTTTACTCACAGTTGTATCTCGTTTGTTAAGCGTTCTGCGAACTGGACTGCCCACCTCTTAGCTAGGGAGTCTGTTTCTAAGTCTGAATGTATGGAGTGGTTTGCTAACCCTCCTTCTTTCATTTGTAATGCTCTTTATCATGATTTAATCTAAGCTTTCCTTTTCTTCTAAAAAAAAAAAGAAGATAACCTCAGACAATTCATCCTTCCCAATCTTTTCCATAAAATAATAATCTTTTCGTAGGATTATTATTTGGGTATTACCAACGATATATCCAACAATTTGGATGGTTAAAAAAAACCTCAGACAATTCATTCTTCTCAAAAGGTAACAGAACATTTGGGAGGATGTAAATCGTGGTAACTCAACTGAACCACAAAGGCTAGACCGTTGCTTACTGCGCACAAGGAGTCTCCTCACTTTGAGAGATTGCTCTTACAGTGCCGCTAGTGAGATTTAATCATTGGTCATTCTTCCCAAATTTCACCATATGACCACTTGAGTTGTCCATGCGGGCAAAAAACTCAGACAATTCATTATCTTGACGCTGACTGGTGGATTTATGGGACAAGTGGCGGAAGAGTATTGGTTGAATGTAAGCGGCAATCTCCGCGTTAGCTTTAGGAATTTAATACGATGCTTGTCCTATCTACCATTAAATGATGGGAATTCCGGACCGATCTGGATCATTCATTTACCTTGGTGGACCTAAACCATCCATCCGTTGATGTTTCATCCTTGTACAGTACAACTTTTGACCAACTATATCGCATCCGATCTTATTTTATGTGGAGTATATGTATATCTCACTTATTACTTTTAATTAATAATGATTAATTAATTTTTGTTTCTAATATGAATTAAAAGTATATTAAACAAATTAATTTGACCATTTTCACTTACTATTTTTGTCTAACTTAAAATTCTAAATGTTTCATCTAAGTGCGAACCCAAGTAGCGGACCACAATTCCATGAGGGGGGAGGGGCACAAGCAAGACTTACTTTGGCTCATAGCCGACCTTAGTTTGATTGAACCCCGCTTTAGCGGAACACACATTAAAGGACTCAGTCTTGTCCAGAGTAGACATGCTCATGATTTTTCGAGATCACACCGGAGAGCTCATCTTTCTCTAGCCCTCCTAAAAGCCAAGCTCGCGTTGAAGAACCTTTCTCACCTCGGGAAGTCGAGATCGTGATTTGTTGAGCGCATGCCAATGGCCACGCCTCATTTCATAAAGTTGGGCTCATGACATACCCAAGCTCATGAATTGTCGAGTTCATCTCAAGAGACTTAAATGAGTCCAAGCTCGGCCACCACGAGTACAAAGAGTATGAGCATGGGGACTACAAGTGCAAGGAGCTTGAGCTCAGCCTCCAAGAGCACAAGAAGCATGAGCTCGGCCACCAAGAGCACAAGGAGACCGAGCTCGACCACCATGAGTGCATGGAGCCCAAGCTCGGTCACCACGAGTGCAGGAAGCCCGAGCTCAACCACCAAGAGTTCAAGGAGTCCGAGCTCGACCCCTATGAGTGCATGGAATCCGAGCTCAGCCACTAGCACAAGGAGTTCAAGCTTGGCCCCCACAAAAAAGCAGTCACATACCGCTAAACCTACACTTTTAATGGTATGTTTTAGCCTTTTTTTCCAATCTTTTTTCATTTTTCACCTTTCTCCTCCCCCTTTCTAACTTGACAAGAAAAATCAGACAAAAAAATCTCAAAATTAAGATTTGCCGTTACAAGGTTCGGATTCCTCACCATTCTTGTGAAAAAGAATGGCCAATTCAAAACCTATAACGAAAGTGGGGTCACCTCTAGACTAGTGTTTTAGACGTAATGGGTAGAATTTTAAAGGTGAAATAATGTCATACGTAGTAAAGCAGTGTAGCGATGAGTAAAGGGATCGGAGTAGGAGATTATGAAATTGGGGATAGTTGGGCGGGAATTGAATGAACAACATGGTAATAATAGACTAATAGACAGCGACAAGTGGGTCCCAGGTGAGAATAATGAGGATTAAGACGAGAAAAAAAGGGGATTAAATTAAGGAAAAATTATGAGGTTAGACACGGAAGTCAAAGTTCCGGCGCATAAGGTAAGTGAACAGCAACATCATACGTAGTAGTTGTAAATTGTGATTGAGAAGAAAAGCAACTTATTTAGGGTGTGGTTCAGAAGTGACTAATTTATTCTTAATCAAAGGTCAATAATTTAAATTTTATTTTTAAATAATGAACAATTATAAATATTCAGATCAATTGCCTGACCTAATAGACGTATTTATAATTTAACAATAGAATTAATCACGGTGTTCAATGAAAAAAGTCTTAGATTATATTTAAAAATTAAAAAATAAGAAAAAAAAAAAAGCAAAACATGTGGCCATGTGGGTGCGGTGGCACTTCCCACTTGCCACACACAGGGAATGGAACAAATTCGTCGTTAATTGCGGCGCCACCGGATTTCTAGAATCCACTCCCTACAACCAAAAAAAACAAATTCATTCTTGTATTCTTAGAAAAGAATTTTATTTTTCTTTTTCTTTTTCACATATTTTGATTTTGTTAGAAAAAAATTTGTCAATATTTTGTTTAAATTAAGCAAAGCATGTTATATACAATAAATAAAATCAATTTATAAGTTTTACTTTACAAACAAATTATTTATTCTTTGATTATTTTCTTTAATATTTTTATTTATTTTTAAATTTAATTTTTTTATTTAATGTAATTTTTAAATATATAAATTTTATATACTAATACTAAATTTAATGTTTAAAAAATTAAATTAAAAATAATTTCAGTCAAACCTTGATAACTAAATCAGACATATAAAATTGAACGGATGGAGTAATATTTAATTAATTATAAAAGTTTTTATAATTTTTGTTAACTATTTATTCTTTTTTAATTTTAACTAATAAGTTTATTCAGAAAAAAAGGAGATAATTGAATATTTATATTATTTTATGTTTAAGAAATAACTAGTAAATTTTATTATGTGTAAATAATTTAAATATTTTTTTTTATAAAATAATAATTTATGAGCATTATATTCACGGTAGATATCCGCATTTGGTGAGGCGGGACGAGTTTTTTAAAAA